AGAATTGAAGTCACACGTATCACGATTCTTTCATACTGTTGCGAGAAGCAGAACATGGGATGATCTGATCCCACTTATTCGGCGTCTATTTCTCTGTCCTGTACGTAGAGGGATTTCAATATAATAACCACTCGAAGATCAGCAAAAACCCCGCATGCATATGCCAAACTTGCCACACAAAATGTATACACAATGTTTTTTTTTTTCCCTATTATCCCTTCGTCTTCCCAACATTTTCACGTAAACGCACGAAAACATGGATATATATACATCGAGAAAGTGGGGATCACTCGTCACTGCAAAGTGCGAGAGGACCCAACACGCCCAAAAGCAACAAAGTTCGTCTCAAAATGAAAACTATAACCTTTTGCACTGGAAAAGGGAAAAAAGGAGCATATATACACAGCGCACGCTCACACCCAATTATGTAAAAAGGCAGCGAGTGTGAGAGTAGAAAAACTGGGCGTCAATTGCCGTGTTTGGACGCAGATGCCATGGCAACCGCTTGTGCCCACAGTCTGAGCCGTGCCTTCACGTCTCGCGGATCATCACCTAATTAAAACGAGAGTTCAGAATAAAGGGAACTATACTGTGAGACAGTAGGAACATGAAATTTGATCAAATAATTAACTTTTGACGAGGGAGGATCCGTGAGAATTACCAGGGCTAGAGACGCGCCAATTCGAGATAGGGGAATTGCCACCACTTCCAGTACTATTGTCCAGGCTTGAACTGGAGAGAGAAAGACGAGATGGGACCTGCAGCATTCGCTCGTGCTCCAACTCGAACCCGAGTTCTTTACATGCCTTCACCTCCCCCATGTCCATGCACAGTGATCTCCTTCCGCCTTTTGGCCTCGTTATTACCATCAACCCCCTCCCTCCTCCGCTCTCATCACTTTCTCCGCTCATCCCTTGATTCGCCTGTTCCTCTTTCTTTTCCTTCTTCTTAATTTTCCTCATTTTCTCACCACTCTTCTTTCTCCTCTCGTTGTCGCTCGCATAGTACTTGGCCGGCAACGAATAACAGCCACCCAATTCGATTTCAGAGTCGGAGGACAACCCGCCGGGAAGCTCGTTGCCGCCAGCAAATTCCTCGTCCGCGTCGCCTTCCCCTTCGAAACTTTCGATGGACAAGTTGGAGAAGTACATGGTTAAGTCACTGTCTTCGGCACCGCACGAGGCACTGCTACTGCAGACGGAAAGCTTGGACAAGTTTTGGGGATTGGGAAGCTCATTTTGGTCATCCCCATCATCCATATCAGCATCATCGAAGTCTTCCTCTTGGGAAGAACAGTAAAAGGTCAGGGATTCATACGAAGTCATTGGTATGCTTTTCTGAGAGACTCTCGATTACTAGATGAAAGAAGAAAAAGTGAAAGGATCACGAGTTTTGATTTTCGGCACAAGAGAAGCTGAGAGCTCACGCTGAAAATAAGCAGTGAGTGAGTGTGCTTCAGTGAAGAAAAAGACGATTCGGCCGCAGAAGAGTCAACAGGACGGCGTTTAGCGATTCAAATTCTTTTCATGCGTTTCTCATCTCATACCAATAAGGAACACGAGACTCGAGTGAGAAGGAGCAAGGGAACAACTTCCATCAGCCGGCCCTATTTATTCAAATTTCGACTCGCTTTTACGCTTTTTTCCATCCTATTTTATATTATATTTTTGTTTTTGTTGACATAATTAAAATCTATCTTTTTCGACTTTTAAGTTTTAACGGACAATTAATTCGATCGACAATTATTTAAAGATTAATGGAGAGAAAGAGTGAAGACGGTGCGGTGGGGTGGGATTAGTTGCAAATCACAGGAGAAAATTGACCATCTGATTAACCATCGGTCGAATCGAATGGTCAGAAGTATAGAGTTTCGGACAATTATTCTTGGCGATTTATTATTGATTGATCATATTAATAACACATTTACCCTTTGGTAATTTGTTAAATCGTTCAGGGTTATTACTGTAAAAAATGTATATATATTTATTATTATCTTAATGAGAAGAAACGCGTACCTCACGCGGAGAGTAGATTAGGAAGGAAATTGACAATTAAGCACCATTTTTTTAAAACCAAGTGCAGATGAGAGGCCACGTAACCCCCTGCCAGGGGCAAAGAGTGAAAAAGATCGCGTATTATAAAGAAAAAAAAATGAATGGAAGCGCCACGTTGTAATTATGGGGTCCCAGCTGGCCTCGTTTAAAACAAGGTGCTTTTTTAACTTTTTAGAGGTTTAATAACCCGAGTCTATCCACATACCAATATTTAACAACAATACATCCACGTTAATCAACGCGGGGTTTATAAAGCTTCGAAGAGCCAATGAGAACGAACAGTGACGGCATTTATATGACTTTGGATCTGCTAATGCCTGGTTTTCGGCTGGCATCAAAACGACAGAGTTTATTTTTGTTTTCTACGACCCAATCTGGTCCCTTGATGTTTAAGCAGGTGGCCGCTTGTTCCACGTGCAACTCAGCTGACATCACTTCGACACATGTCCGCGTTCTTAGCCCTCTTCTGTTTACTCTAATAAAATACTACTCCTATGGGTTTTTTTTTTTTTTTAATACAATACTACTCCCATGGTATTTAGTGATGTTTACGGTAAAAGGAAAGAGAACAGGAAGAAAAATGGGAAAGAAACAGAGTGGAAGCAGCTGAACAGGATCCATCCATCACTGGCCAGGGCGACAGCAACGTTGTTGACGCCTCGACGCTTCCAAGTTAAGGCACCCAACAGTACCAAACGAGGCTGGCTTCATGCACAAAACAATGCCACGTGGCTGTTATCGTTGGGCATCTAACGGATAATAATTGTGATTCCACTCTACGAAAGACTTCATGATGTGAGGAGTGGGTCCCCTCTCATTCACTCTCACTTTCCACAGTGTCGCCCTCGCAGTCGCAGGCCACTCGTCCCTTGAATCCTGATATTTCGCTATTTTCTTAATTTATTTTAACCACCAATTTTTTCTGTGTTCCCGATCTCCTTCTGATGTCTTGTTCCTGATTTTTCTGGTGTCATCACATCAAATAATAATTCGCTTCTCCTCCTTATATTATTTTTGAATTATTTTTTGTATGAGGGAATTCGTCCAATACTTCAGCGAGAAGCCCCGAGTTCAGATATTATAGCTGGACGGCCGTTGGATCAACTTTGCCGTTCGGATGTTTACACGTGGCGATGCCATCAGATTCAAGCAAGCCTCATATTCTCTCTCTCCCTTCTTTTTTTTTGGTGATGGCTGTCTTTATTTAATTATTCAAGATAAAATGGTCTAATTTAAGTTGTGTGTGGATTTGAGGGGGGGAGTTAGTTGGAGAATTAGTGGGGGAATATGTGGCGGAGAGGGGAGGGACATCTGAGAAAGGGGGAGGGGGTAAGGAAGGGTGGGGTCCATTCAGCTGTGAGAGAGCAGTGGGTCCCAATCCCTCCCCCGGCAGAGACCTCGCCACGAGGGAGCGTGGAGTCTTCGTCGAGGGGGATGCCGGGGCTACCTACGAGCCCAACCACATACAGGGGGGGTAATTGGCGAGATATGGGAGGTACGTCTCCGTCTTCAGTGGCCCCACTCGCCATGACTGTCCTCGCACAAATCCAGCTTCTTTCTCCATCTGCGTCATTTTCATAGAATCTGATTTCCGATCCGCAATTAAATTCTCATCTCTCAAGATCTAACATTATGTACGCTTAGTATTCTGTTTTCCCCCAAAACCAGTGTCCTGGCAATTATGTTTTGAAATGCTACCACCGCCGTAGTATAATGTTGTTTTTATGTAGGAGAGCCACGGCGGTATAATGCATTGGATCTACTGTTTTAATTAATTCATTATGGTTTTTTACTTGCCATGTGTTAATTTTGTTTCTTTAAATTACAATTGTAAATTCAGTTAAATCATACTCCTCCGATCCTTAATATAAGACCCATTTAACTAATTTGATTAGATTAAGGAAGTTAGATACGTTAGTTAATTATAAAAAATGTGACACATTTTTCCTAAAACACCATAATTATCTTTCTTAATACCTCATTTCCCTATTTTACTTGATTATGGTTGAGAGAGTATCTATAGAGATAATTTAAAGAAAATAGATAAATATGATAAATGTGTCTTATATTTAAGACAAAAAACAACTCAATAATTGAGTCCTATATTAAGAACTGGAGGAGTATATACTTAAGCCATTGGGTGTGTTTGAAAGACAATTTCAAACCATCATAAATAACTTAACTTCAATGCTTATTCTTAAAAAAAAAAAATCATATATACTCGTCAACTGTCCTTATTTACAATTTTTTTTTATTTCTAAAGTTTTTCTTGTAATTTTTTCCAAAAAACAAATGATGGTTTTAGGAAGATTGACAATCAGATTTAATTAAGAGCAGTCAGTAGCTTAGCTTCGAGGCATCGGACCCCTCCACTCACTGGCATCCAGAAACGGTCAAACCATGGTTTCATTGAGGCCTTTGCATATGGTCACGAGTCAAGTGTGGAGCCTGAAACTGTGGACTGTGACAGCAGAAATAGAACCCCGCGGGACAAAGAGAGAGCCCCACACATCCAATGAGCAACAAAACCGAAGTTTGAGGCTTTATTAAGCATGGCAGATAAAGGAAATTAAAGATATTAAAGAAATAAAAAATGAATGGAGGTCGGTGGAGGAAAGTGCAAGGCATGTGGATCGCGAAGCAATGGGACACAACAAAAAGTCAGATTAGATCATCCGCATCGTCATGATCTGAAATTTAGTAAGGGAATGGCGATTCTAATGGCTCCCCTGACATTGACACTATAATTTCAATTTGTGCAAATTCAACTTTCCGGAATTTTCATTCTAATTTTTCTATGACGGAGACCAACTCCTCCTTCTAGTTTTTGTCTCATCTTAACCATTCCACGAACCCAAATCCATTGCTTTTGGGATTTGCCCCCCATGCATCACTCCCAATTTCTTTTCTCCGCCAATTAAAAAACATGATAATGACTTAAATGCAATTTTAATTTCTTTAAAATCTGTCGGCAGGCACTGGGTAAACGATTTTTTTTTTTAAAAAAAAAAGGCGCAATAAACCTATAACCTATTCTGATTAAATCTACGCATAGGATTTGAGAGGGTGACCGCAAGTCCACAATTTCAACGACGAAAAGTGAGGGTTCGTACGAAGAGGGTCAATTTACCATTTGTCTGGAGAAAATAAGTAGGTGTTCTGTATGTACGCACACTTAATGATGGTCAATAAACAGAATTAGCTTTGTATATTTGCGGGTGGTATTTCGTTATTGGCTTCGAACAGAAAGGCAGAGAAAGACTCAAAACAATTCCAATGGCGATAGCGTTCTGAATGAGACCCAAAAACGTCATAACGTTGGACGTGTTTTGAGAATAGACTGGGCTTTTCCTCTGCCCTCATGCACCAGAAAGCACCAGAAATGAACATGATCTAGGCCACACAGCAAATTGGGCTTGAAAGAATCTAGGGCTCCCCAAGTTCAGGGCTTATCTTATACAAGGAAGGTGACCTCTTGGATTTTCATTCAAACTGACTTTTCTAAACCCAATGTTATATTTGCACATGTTTTTACAAAAAAATTCAGTTTTTTGCAATATAATCAACTGTTTTAAAAGTTACACTTTATAATTATTTAAAAAATTGATTCAATTTTTTTTTTAAAAAAAGAATTTTCTCCCAAATAATCACAGATCTTTTTGCTCATCATATTCTCTCTCTTATTTTTTCCGCTTATTTTCCTCCTAATAAATGTAACTCCAAGCGACCGATGGTGGAAGCAAGACAGACTCTGGGAAGCTGCCCCATAATTAATGCATGGTGGTGGGAGCTGCCTACGCCATAGCGTGCCATTGACTCCCACTAGAGCCGTTATGTGCGTAGTTGAATCTTTCTGTCTTTGGCTTTGACAAATATAAGGTGGTCTTTATTCTTTAATATCCCCCCCCCCGGGGGGGGGGTTCTTTATAATTTCTTGAATATAAGAGCGATGGATCTCGCTCTAGTGCTGTACCTTCAACCGGAACGGTGCTGCACATTTTTTTTTTTGGCTTGATGCTGCACTGTTTATTTGCTTCCCCTTTTTTGGTGAACTATTTTCTTTTCATCTTATCATGAGTAAAGGGGGCAATTCTGTGGTACTAATCATGTACTTGCATATATTTGGTCAAAGACAAATTATGTAGTACTTACATCCACCACTGCGCTACGGACGAAGCTTTTTTTTTTTTTTTCCTGTGCCTAATTCTTTCCTGTTAAATCTGCTTCGGTGTGAATTTAGAAAGGGAAAAATCTTTTTTTTTTCCTTCTTTCCATATATAAAACCAAAAAAGCAATGAAATTTAAAGTGAGATCATAACATTTCGAGTAAAATAGAATCCACACGGATGGTGATAAAAATGGAGTAACTTGTTGAGGATGAAAACTGGCAAACAAAAGAGAGACAAAAGCAAGGAACAGTATGATGAGGATGAAACGCCACTGTTGTTATTATATCCTGGCAGTGTCAGTGGCTACTGAGTCAGTGTACGACTGTCTCTATTCCCAGACGCGTAATCAGTATGGTACGAGACGCTCTCGCCAGCGCTTTCTTCTCCCTTACTGTTCATTTCCCAGGATTCCTCTCTTCAGCCACATTATCATTCATCATTTTAAAGGGCCGCCCAAGTTTCAACTCAATTCATTGCTCATTCTGTGAGACTTTGCTTTGCAAGGAAGGAGCTGGTGTATGGTGTGGATTTGAGCCCAAAAGAAAAGAAGAGAAAAGAAAAGCAAAGCGACTTTCATATAAAACTGGGATTCTGCAAATTCAACACTTTCTTTCTCGACGATAATGTTTAAAGGCTGTCTTAAAAGAGCTACAAGACACGGACGCAAAACAAATGGCCTTTATTCGCTTGGGAGTCACTGTCTCATTGTACGGATCGCAAGTGAGTAACTTTCCGTTTCGCCAGTGGGATTAAGTGGTACCCTCTTAGTCTTACTGTGCGTCCATGGAATGAAAGAGATATACATTGCTATTTGACACACTGCCACAGAACCAGTCTGCAATTTGGGTCCCCTCATTTTAATATCAGCCAGACAAGCATAATAGTACATTTGAAATGTGATGATGATCATTTTCGAGAGGAATTCTGCCAAGCTTTTCGTTTTTAATTATTTTCAGGGCTCTGTGTCGTGTCCTTTTCTAGATAAAAGGGGGGAAATTGAAAAAAAAAAAAAACAGAAAGAAAAGAGGTGAAAATGACGTCGGTCAGGAACGCCGGTTTCGTTTGGAAGGTACACACAAAGTCGCCAACCGCATAATATTAGAGTGCGAGAAAAATTAAAAGTTCCCAGGAAAGCAAGGGAAAAGGTTCAAGCCTATCATGGTAGTGAAAACGATGGACAAACCCATTTAGAATGTTGGGGCTGGATAAATTGCTCGCTCCCCAAGTTTTGTGCTGATTTCTGCCCACTCTGAGAGGTCGGTCGCTCAATGTGTGAAGTGTGAATTTCGAGAAGACACCGCGTGTTCAAAACTGCTTTGGATAATTCTACGCGAAATAAAGTAATCAAGTCCCACACATTGAAAGGAAAAACTAAGAAAATTTAAAAATAAAAAGAAAAAAGGAAACAAGAAGAAAGTTTCTAGTGCCTCAATAAACGTTTGGGATGGCTTAGATATATAGAGTAAAGTGCGCTACCATCGTAATGTACTCACAGAGTTTTGCAAATATGAGATAGAAAGACGACAGACAGCATGACAGCAGATCAACACTCACATCCTAAAATTTACCCCACACCCGAGGGGAAAAAAAAAGGATTAAAAAGAAAAGGGAAAAGGGAAAGGCAAATGGTTGTTGGCTCACAAATACTATCAAAATGAAGGGGATGAAAGAAATGGTTGTATCGGACCTATATACAAAGAGCAAAATCTGTGACGCACACCTGTATGCTAATTAAGAAGAACATCGATGAATCCTCTTGAAGCCCTATCGAATAGAGCATTTCTATAACATAAAGCCTGCTATATGTGTCCGAAAGCTGCAGTGAGCTTCTGGATGTCCTTTGAGAATATTGCAGAAGCTTGATGATCTTGCTGCTTGTGATGATAAGGCAAAATAGCTCCTAAAGACTCCGGTACCAAATGTGAGGCTGGCCTTATATCGTTGCATAAGGATTCTGAACCTTGATTCTGTACAGCAGCCAGCATTAAGATTGGGTTACCATGAAGGTACTCAGCCCACCTGGCTTCTTCCGTCTGACTCTCCATCATATTAATCTGGTGATGAGCCTCCTTAGCAGGAGTACCACCACAGTCTGTCAATCCCCAAGAAACAATACTGTTCTGCAAGTTCAAGGGGCCGTTTCTATTGCTATGGTTGGAAGCACTGGCTTCCCAGTACCGGGGTTCATTCACAGGGAAGGAACCAGTAGAGATATCCTCAGATGGAACGGGGAGAGAAGGCTTGTAGCAGACGGAAGTAGGGAGGAATGAGGAGGTTGAAAGTGGAAAGGCAGTGGACATGGTACTGGAGGTAAATTCAGTATTTATATCAAATGATCTTCCTCCAGTTTGAGTGAACCAACGAGAAGAGTCAGTGGATGGATTCGTATAGGTCATTTGAAGAGGGAAATTCGTCATGAAATCTGAAGTGGTGTAGATTTCCTGGTGACTGTTGATGAACCTGCTGTCCAGTAACAACTCTTTACTGGAACAATCGGGGATGAAATTAGTGTTGCTTCTGGTGTTAATCTTGGAGGTAGAAGAAGAACCCTCCATGTCGTGTGCATAGGCTTTATGGGCAATACTTGAACCTGGTTTGTGCTCGTAGGAAGCTCCATCGGACCTGGAGCTTTCTGATTTCAGGAGGTTCAATTCACTGGAACTAACTGCTGCAACTTTCTCTCCATCTTTGTCCTGATCTCCATTCTCAATCTCCGACAGTGGTTTATGGGTCACAGGGTCTATCCCTTGTTGCCTCAGCTTCTTCTTGAGGCATGAATTCCACAGATTCTTTATTTCATTATCCGTTCTTCCTGGCAGCTGTGCTGCAATTTGCGACCATCTGAAAACCCGTCAAATTAAAGCAAAGTTATAACCCAGAAAAGTATATGATACAGCACCCAATTGCAGAAGAAAAGAAAGCGATTGAGAAACATGCCTATTCCCTAATACTGCATGAAGCTCAATGATGAGGTTCTCCTCTTCTTGTGAGAATGTGCCTCTCTTCAAATCAGGCCTCAGGTAATTGATCCACCTCAGCCTACAGCTCTTTCCACATCTCTGCAAGCCTGACAATACAATTATATTCGTGGTGATGAGGGAGACAGACGAAGAAGAAGCTATCGAGTTAAGAATGGTAAATTAAGGAGAAGTAAGTAAATACCTGCTTGCTTAGGAACAGAGCTCCAGCAGCCATGGCCATACTTAGTGATATGCCTGAGCAATTTCTCATCCTCATCAGGGGACCAGAGACCCTTGCGAAGCTTTTGCTTGTGGCAGCAAGAGTGCCTCCCCATTTGTAGATAGCCCCACGTCTACAATGAGGGGAATGATATCCCTTTTCCAATAACAGAAAGTTTTCTTGCTAATTCCTAGGAGAAATGTCAGCACAAGAGCGGCACTGAACAACAAAAGCTCAAGGATGATCGATGCACTGTGATAAAGAGGATATATCAGAGCGAATGAGACGATATATGATATGAAGTCTAGAAAATGAAGTTTCAGCTGAGAAAGGAGTTGAATTAATATAAGAGCAAGGCCCCCCATGGAAGAAAAGTCATAGTCAATGAGTTTTTTTTTTCCCCTCCATTTCTTTTTTCTTTTTTCTTTTTTTTTAACCTTTTAGAAAGAAAAAAGGGGTTTCAGTATATGGGTTGCAGTGGGGGAGGGAGGAAGGTTCATCTTGGCCACCAGAGGAAATGGGGTTAATAACAGTGTATCATAAGTCCTGTCGGAGGTGTAAGTTTTCATGTCTCTAGCACCAATGGTGGGGCATTTGGGCTGATATTTAATTTTTTATTCACTCAGGAACATAAAAACGTTATCTGAAAACGTCCCAATGCTTGTAACTCAAGTTTTAAAACTGTTATAAACAGAAACTAACAAACAAAATGTGGCAGAAAATCATTTCACTGCACTCTGCACTGGCAAGAAGTTGCCCAAGAAAATAATATAGCCTCTTCCCTATCTTGCCCGTTCTTCAAATTTAATTACCACATAGGCCCTTCATCAATAGTATACACAGTAACTAATTATACAATTTTCTTGTCATGTTCCGGCCATATATCTTTATTTTTTCAAAAAAAAAAATTACGCAGTTCATATATAGTTTCATTCATGCCATGATCGATTTCCTTTAAATGCTCTGTCATTACGTGGAAAGATCAGATTTTTTTTTCTATTTTTTTAAAAGATGCGTGTTATCCTATAATTGTTGAAATCCACCAAGGGCTGCTAATGAACTCTTTCTGGCCGTAGCTTCCCTTTTGAGGGATAAAAGTCTCTCAGTTCTACTTTTGCCCGGACTTCGAATTCTTTAAAATATAGGCACTTGTCCTACAGGCAGCCAGATAAAATTATAGCGATAAGGGTCAAGTACGTAGACGCATATGCGGGAGCCAGTAACACATAAATTTGGGAACGTTTTCTATTAGAATCTAATATCTTAACCGTGTTAAACATCATAGGGCTGTGTCTCTAATTAGCAAAGTGTCTTTATTCCAATAATGAGGCTTCCACTTTTAATAAAATGCTTTAATAGTGGGCAACTAACTATTGGGCGCCATAATATTCATTATTCATTCACTTGATCAATAATTGGGTAATGGTTTTTATTAAATTCTCATTAACTCCACAACTATCCCACCGGCATATATGGTCATCGCATGTGCAAATTTTCTTTCCACAATTGAATTTAATTATATTAATCATACGCGCTCCATTAGCTAACGAATTAAGGATCATGCAATGGCTGTTAATTATATCTTTTTTTCAACAAAAAAATGTAAAAAATATACATACAGAAAACCGACGTTGATCTCAGGCTTGTCCATAACGCGTGCATTATATATGTTCATTTTGTACGGCGGTTTCATTGAAAAGAAACCATGATTAACATGACGTTTAATAAGATCAGGCTTGCAAGAAAAAGCTGATGTTTTAAAGCCGAACTCGTTGTATTTTGAATTGTTATATCAAAAGGCGAAGAAAGAGAAAGAAAAATAAAAAGAGAAAAAAAGGGCAGCATCATGCTTCAAGAAGTTAAATTTTCATCTTTTATATATATATATATATATATATATTTGCATACATAAGGATGCATGAGCACTAATTAAGCACTTATTAGACACTCCCAAAGTTGAAAAAAGTGCTAATACTTGTGGACCTTGTGGTGCAGCTCTCTTCTTTTTCGTCTTTCCTTTAGCCTTCTCTGTAAATTTTTTATAATCGATCTCTTTTGCTTTAATTTTATCAAAAATCCAAGCACAATAAGAGACCTATATAAATACATATATGTAAATCAACGGAAAGAATATTCTTCAAACCCGACATGGAAGTAGAACTAGCTAGAAAGATAGAAAAGAAAATGAGGAAGACCTAATAACCTAAGACAACATATATGGAGAGAATGAACGACATATATAATTAATGTTATAATATATACTCCTCCGGTCCTAATTATAAGACCCAATTGATTTATTTGAGAAGATTAAGGAAGTAAGTTAAGTTGGTTATTTATAATAAATAAGTGTTGTCGTTCCTAAAATATCCTTGCTAATTAAGTATATTGGCTAAAACTATCATTATTAGAAGGATTATCTTGGAAAAAAATACATAAATATAATAGACAAAATGGATTGGGATCTTATAATTAGGACCAAATAAAAAGTCAAATTGGGTCTTATAATAAGGACCGGAGGAGTATTAATTATAAATATTCGCGGCTGATGATTAGTAAGTAAAAAAATACTCTACATATTAAAAAGATGCACGCACATCGAGGCTGAGACATAAAAATGACATTCAAATGAATTATTGCATATCATTAGCTGTCGAGACTGTGGCCTGCTTGAAACTGTGTGATCTCTGGGAACCACCACCAGCAGATTTTCAAAAATCTCAAAGCTGGAATAATTAACTAAAACTCATCACAAGCGAATTTTCATACTATCAATCTTTAATCATTAATGCTTTTCGCAAATTAGACGATAGCAATATTCTAATCAGGTGACTTGGATCAATCTCCTCCACGGACCTAATATATAGTTTTCCTTTTTTATTAAATTAAAAAAAAACTCTTCCAGTGATGAAAATGTGTCGTGGACGAACAAAAATGCAATTACCTTACATCGATGTATATTGATACGATTTGAACAGACGTTATCTAATAAATAAAAGCTGAGTTAGGCTTAGGAAAAATCATGCGTGACATGAAATTAAATTCACCTTTGTATTTAGAACTGTGTGTATTAATACTAATATGAGTGATGTTGAAAGGTTGTACAAATGCGTGAGTGGATCATCCATTGAAAGCGAAGACCACACAAATGAGAATGCGTACATGTGCTATGTTGTGATCTGATGTCCACGTAATAGGGACTAATACGCACCCCTTCTTTTCTTGGGGCCATCCATCACTTTTTTTTTTTGTTGCCTCTTAATTTCTTTCCAGTGTTTTTATTTGTTATTCCCCCGTTTGAGTCCCTAACACCAATTAGTGAGTCCACTCATGGGTATTTTTGTGATTTCACGTCGACGCCTCGAGGCGGAAATGGAAGAAACACATGAATCGTGAAACTATATATGTACACTGGCCTATTCAATTGGAAGTGAAGCGTATTTAAGAATTTAGATCGAAATTAAGTGTCTGTCAATGTCTGCTGCTTTCTAATCAAGAAAGAGATTTAAATCTTGAATCATAATCTTATGAAAATGATTTTCCAATAAGGTTAACAAGGTCTTTTTTTTTTTAAACCAAAAAAGACAAGGTCTTTTTCAGCTTAATATTTCATAAATTAAGTGATTTTCGCACATAACTATAAAAATTTGAGAACAAAGCTCAAGTTGATGGATATATATATAGAGATATATATATATATATATATGGAACACTTATTTAGACGCTTGAGAGCAGATAATATTCCCCCAAAATAGTGCTAGCTTACAGACAGACAGCCGAAGGCATCTCTCAAATATTTAAAAAAAAAAGAGAAAAAAGTACACGAGGTTATAGTAAAATAAAAGACCAAAGAGCTTTAGGAAACGAAATGAAAAATTAAATATGAGGAGTGAATAATATCTTTTGCTTTGTGTATTATATCAAGTTGTCTGTTTGCAGCACAATTATGATGCCCCCTTGACCTTAGCGATGTCCCATTTGACATTTGTAATAATACGAATCATTTTTATTAAATGACTTTAATAGACTATTTTAATATATATAATCCCCAAAAGAAAGAGGGCAACAAGTGGAAAAAGATACTTCTAAATTACATCTGCAATCTCTTCAAAACACTGTTGATTGGGAAGCTTATCTCCTGTTCGCACATGAGCTGTTCCCTTTATGTCAACTTTAAACAAGATTCTAGTCCACGGTTTTGCCAATAGCTATTTGTTTATTAATTAATGATAATGATAATGATGCCTTTTGGTGGAAATTATGGTAATTAAAGGGCGCTGTTCATGGATTGATTAATTACGCTCCATACATATATATATATCGCTGCGAGAATTAGCTTGAATATAGAAAAAAGAAAAATATGTTGTATAGAATAATATTAATTATAAATAAATTAATTAATTAAACATATATAAATTTTTTCACTGTATAATCCCAAACGGTTTGATGCTTTTACATTGTTATTTATGAAAGTTGAACGTCTCTGCCGGGCATGTAAGAATCAGGAAAAGAAACTAACATTTTACCCCAACCATTTAAAGCAGCATATCGATCACTTGAATTTGATAACTGATAGCTAGGGACGTAGTAACTGATCATTATGATTGTGAAATCAACACCTTATGGGTAATTTTGAATTTCATGAGCGGTCTGATGAGGTAGAGTAGCAAGCTAGGTCTCTAAATATGTGTGATGCTGTAAATTAGAATAAGAAGGAAAGGCAAAGAGGGTAGAGAGAGGAAGGGTGATGATGAATATATGATATTGGAAATCAAATATAGAGATACATAGAGATGAAATGAACTAAGAGCTCAAAAGAGGGTGGCAAATCGGCAGATATGGGCCTACCAATATATATGGCAAAGAAGAGTGAGACGTATATGTATATATGGAGGTGGTTCCTTCACCTTTCAATAATGTCTACGTTCATTGCTTAATTGAATCAGTCACATCACACGAGTGTGTATGTGTGTGCTGAGATAGATATGATCTTCATTTTCAGGTATATCACACATCTCTGCCTGCTACGCTTAAATATGATCATATGCCCCCCTTTAATTAATTTGTCCCTTTCTCTTCCTCAAGCTCAGCTAAGCTACCTGTCCTTTCCTTAATCCATACATGCACGTACCAGATGGCCAACACACCATCTTCTTCTTATTTTATGCCTCAAATTCAGTGCATTTCTCATTTGCCAATCCATTAATCGCTTTATCCAAAATGAACGACGACGCATTATATATATACAAATGAAATTATGGGGGTTTTTTTGTGAGGGTTTCTATATATATCAGCCGGTGTCTGACCTATAAAGAGGAAAGTAGGGGGATGAGATCCCATGGATTTAGGGTGTGTCCCTTAAATTATTGGGA